CTCTCATCACAATCATCCTCTAAACGTTGAAAGATGATGGTGGTGTCGCATCACCTTCTGATGGATCGATCCTCGGATCAGCCAATAAGACTCGCACGACTTCAGTGTGGCCGGCAGCTGCTGCCATTCTCAACAGAGAGTTCCTCTGAAAAGAAGGATCACAACGCGGATGGGCCATCATGACCGAAACCATGTCGGCTCTCCCCATCTTCGCCGCCGCAGTCAAGGCAGTAGACAATTCCTGTTCGAGATGAGAAGACGATGCGACGTGATGGACATCACATCGACGGAGAGCTCATCGTGGCGCAATAAGAGCTGCACGGCTGAGACGTGTCCGCTGTGGATGGCGGCTTCTAATGTGTCGGGGAGTCTCTGATGGAGTAGGGGAAACGAGCTGGGATTCTGTGGTGAAGGGTTGCTGCAGCTCGGTCAATCTACAATAGTGTAGACGAAGCATGGCTGCCCTACCTGGGAGGAGCCACCTGAGGTGAACGACCGAAGAAAGGGATGACCATAGACGATGAGAGTTTGGCTCTACCCGAAGTACCATCATTATTTCTGATGGGTATGCGTGGTGATATGGCGAGCGATGCCTGGTAGGAATCTGGAATCTCATCGGGCTGCTCGCTGGCCACTCGGAGGAATGGTAGACCACCGGAATGGGTTGCAGACAACTTGCGAGGTTTCTCTTTGCTTGAGGGTTCGACAAAGTTCATGAGAGAGGAGGACTTGGATATCTGCCTTTCTTGAAGGTCATCCTGGTCGAAGTCAGATACCAAATGTGCGAACATTGTATGAGAATGAGGGACTCTTACCACAGTGATGACGGTATCGATATCTTTCTTGTTGGAGGGTCTGAGACGACCGAGAAACGAGAAAAGACCGCTAGTTTCGATTTCTTCACGCATGTTTGTCTGTAAACCTTCTCAAGGTCAGTCAAGCACGCTCCTCTATCTCAATTCACCTTCTAAAAGCAATGTGTTCTGTATGGATGATGCTTATCAGTTTGAACCACGCTGCCAGTATTCTAGTTCTGACGGATATATGTTCTCTAAAATACAAGGTGTGTTGGGTGATGTGGTCCACTTGTGCGGCCTGTTGCCGTGATGCCTTCTTACAAACCTGAAACTTCATTCAACAGATTACGGATGATTTTCTACAGACAGCGGGATATTTATCATCAACCGCCATTCCGCTCCCTATCCATTCCCGCGATGAAACCAGGCCATCACTGTGCCCTCTTCCCATACACCTACACTACCTCTACTGTATGTCTATACATCCTATTCTTCATTATATCACGCTCACTTGATAGAACACAATGAACCACGATGAATTGCATATAAAGCTCTATTAAATTTCATATCACGGCGTGTCACACTGCAGTACAACTGACAGCGGCAACATCTACAGGTGCTGGCCGGCGGGCCTCTGCGGCACTGCCCTTCGTGGCTGCGCCGGGGCTTTCGTGGGCGTTCTGCTCGGCGCTCTCGTTGGGATTCTCTTCGTACCACAAGTGGGGACCGGTGGCTATAGAGGATGAGTCATCATGATGTCGGTGTCGTGAGATCACCTTGCGTGCGGGGAGAGATATCGTCTTATCGGCTGCTGTGGTGACGCTGGGTGTCACGCGGTTGGGTACAGAAGGGGCCAGAGGTCGCTTGACTTCTAAAGTCACCGTTGCAGCCGGTGGAAGTAGAGATGGAGGTTGTTCCGCTTTTCTCTTCAGAGCTGGAAATAGAATGAGACGAGACATCAGAAGAGATGACTCACATGATGATAGACAGGTGGTGCTGCTGAGGGGGGTGAGAGACGAAGACAGGAAGGCGGCCGATGGACATCTCGGCTCGTCTGGGCTGTCTTGTTGAATGGGAGAGCAGAAGCGAACCGATTTCGATCTCTTTGGAAGTTCGAGTGTAGAGGTGAGGTCACTGATGACATGTCAGATGAGATGCAGATGACAACGTCGCATGGGCTCACTTGTAGACTTCGAAGGCATTACGAATGGGGCTCTGTGGCTTGGTCTGGGCTAATTCGAGCGCCTGACGCGTCTGTGTCGTTCAGACCTTCATCCATAATCACGTCTTCACACCTCTCTCTCCTTCTTCAAGGTGGTCACGTAGTTCTCTTCCAATATCTTGGCCTTCTCTTCAGAACTCTGCAATCGGATCCTCAACTGTTCGTTCTCCGAATCTCTGTTCTTCAGCTCTTCCTGCAGCCTCTTGATCTGTGACCACTCGTCAGCTCTGCCATCGAGGATGAACGGTTGTCACCTCGTCTCTACCCTTGAGCCCCAGGTCGATGTGTTGCTTGGCCGCTCCCTCTACGTTACGAATGCGAGAGCCGAAGCCAAGAGATCCGATCGTTTCCTTTTCTGAAATCGAAGACGGTGCGATCTATCATCGCGATCAGATCATCATCATCGCACGGTGCATCATGTCATCGCGATCATCATCTTCTCACCTGAAGTAACATGAGAGTCTTCGAATCTCCCCCGAGAGAATCAGACAAGAGCCAAGTCAACTTGGAATTGCGGTAAGGAATGTGCGAGTTCTTCGCGATGAGAGCCGACACGACGTCGCCCAAGGCAGAGAGGGACTTGTTGATGTGCTGTGCTTCCTTCATGCGGTCGCCGACGGCACCCGATCGGCTCAAACGTTCGGAGCTGAGGAGGTGAGTGAGGATCTACAGAGTTGTAGATGGAGAATATTCTTTACCCTGCGAGATCGATGAGGGTGAGCTTGGCAATGGTGGCCGGCGCTTCGGTGAACGGTTCATTGATGACGGTGATCTGTAGGAGGGAGTGGGATCTGTTAGAGTGAGAATTTGGCTCGTTGTAGACGAACTCACCGGCTGGAGTGTTCGTTACAGTCCGTGGCACTCATCGCACGATTGCGCTGACCTACACGAAGGGCTGATAGGACCTGTCAGATGTGTCAGATCGTGGCATTTCAATGAAACTCTATCACCTCGTCGACGTTTTCTACGGTCAGGGCCTTCAGTTCGGGTACGTAAACGCCTTCAGCGCTCGTCTTTATGGTCAACCTGTTATCGATGAGTTTTCTGTGATTTTCCGATGACTTCTCACTTCTTGTCGCTGGTAGTGAGAAGGTCTCTCACTGTCTCGTTGTAGATCTCCATCATCGAGATGCTGACTGTGTATTTCGAGTACCTCGATCTCTCTCCGATCCACTCGAACAATTTCTGCACGCCGTTCAAAATTCAAATCTCCGCGCTTTCTCACCTGCACCGCCCTGATGTTGACACCCCTATCATTTTCTGGACCCTCCATGGTGTACGTCTTTCCTGCACCTGTGGCACCGTAGGCAAAGATGCAAACGTTGTAACCATCCATCACAGAGCGCACGAGAGGCTCCACCTCTGCAAACACCGCGGCTGAAGAGAGATTCAATATCGAGCGTTGTAGACGGACGACATCTCACCTTGATCGGCCGACGGATCGAATACGCGATCGAATTCGAAGCGTTTCTTACCGTAAACGAGCAGGTTAGTGTTACCGGGTATGCACTCGGTTAGATCCTCTGAGACGTCCCTCTCTTGAGAAGCCATGGGACGCACTCGACAGAAGACTCTGACGTTGCCTGGACGTTTCAGAATGGAGAGGGCAAGTTGTCTCACCCTTCAGCTCCAAGAGTTGGTTGTACAATTTCTTCCTCAGTTTGCTCTCTTCGATGAATTGTTCTGTGATGTCCTGGTACAAGTCAGCGGATCTTTTCGCCGTTCGTGTGGATCGGTGCCCACCTTGATCTTCGCGTAATTCTCTTGGTTGACCTCTTCGGTGATGATGAGACGCATCTCTTCCTGTCTGGTCTGGGCGATTTCTAGCTCAGCTCGGGCCGCTGCGACTTCTTCTTCCAACTTCTGAATCTTCTGGAGGCTCTCCGTGAGCGAATTCTCCCTTATGCATCATCAGAAGATGGTCATTTTCATCATTCGATCTCACTTGGCATCGAGCTGAACTCGAAGCTCGTTGGTGAGCGATCTCCTCTTGGTATCTGCGTCAGAGACTCTCTCCACCTCCAGCGTCTTGAGGAGAGACCTGCTGTTTCTCTCCATCTCATTTTGGGTCTGATTGAGGTCGAAGAGGGTCGACGTTCGTCTACGCTTGAGGCTGGCATCGGCCGCAACAACGGGAACCTTTTGGGCCAATTCATCGGCTTTCTAAAGGGAGGTCAGAGAGGCATTTTGTAGCCGTTTCACCTTGAATTCCACCTTGTAGTGCTCGATCTTGGCCTGTCTCTTCAATTCGTTCTGTTGCAGTTCCTTCAGTCGGTTTTCAATGACAACCTTTTCCGATTCTTCTTGCATATGTTGTCCGAGAAGGCGTTCCAGCTGAGAGGAGACTTTATCGAGAAATTCTTGTTGAACTTGGAAGATCTAATCAGTGTCAGAGGAATGCATGAATCACATTTTCTCACATCTTGGATGACCTGGAAAGATCTGGGTGTCTGAGCTTGAGAGGTATTGACATCTACTGATGGCGTCTTGGGTGTTCTCACACCTCGAGGTGTGGTCTCGGTATCGAGAACACGAGCAATTGGACGAGCGGGGCTGATATCCATGTTATCATTGTTGCTCTTGCTCTTTTGATCCCATGCTTTGACCAGACTCTGAGCTTTGAGGATGGTCCTCTGAATGGGGGATGCAGGAGTGCCCATTTCAGTAAGGACTAATGACTTGACCGGCGTCCTGAAATCGATCTGCATGGGAGAAGACATCGAAACCTCTTCCTCTTTGCGGTTGGGGGTGCATGGCGCCTCCTCCATCGCTCGCGTTGATTTAAAATTGAAAATGTTCGAACCGCCTTTTTGGCGGGAAAACGGACTTTTTTTTGGCGAAAGATGAGCACGTTGAGGCAGCAAAATTCGATCATCTGGATTTGAAAGTCGATTCATGTAAAACGAAGATTATTCGAAGGCTTGTGTGGTTATACAGGGCCGGTCATGGCTGTGTGCAGATCTATTGGCTTTGGCAAAAACAGGGCCCACCCGGGATTGAACCGGGGACCTGCCGGACTGCAGCCGGATGCTCTACCACTGAGCTATGGACCCGGGATGTTTGCTCGTCCTTATATATCAATGAACAATTATTAACAGCTAAAGATCCTCTAATTTATTCTCATTAGAACTTAGAATACTCGTTGACTATCTTGCTGTCTAATAGACTGTCGCAGCCTCAGACAAAGGGTGAGCTCATCCTTCCCATCTTCTGTTCCGATCAGCGTATCCCTGGATTACTCACTTTCTTCAGCTTCTTACAACTCTCAACGTCTTCTTATCCATTAATCGCTCACGGAAGAGGTGCAGTCTGTACGCTCGTGTTGTTAAAAGTTGCATTCTATCGTGCGGCCCAAGTGATTAATAAAACTTTTTTAAAAAAGGGCGTTAAGAAGACGAGCATCCATGGTGCTTTTGCGTATTTATCGTACCGCGTGCTAAAGAAAGGTAAATATTCGCATGGCCGCACAATACGATTGTCAGTTTTATGCGCCAGCAACAGTTCAGCAAAATGCGTATCTCCACACCATGACGATAAAAAGAAGCGATGGCGTCGGCGGTTGGTTTAACGCCTTACAATTCTCTGGGAATGTATGAAGTAACCGATTGACATTGCGCTTCAATCACCGAATGCAGGCAAGGTCGATCAATCTTTTTACATATCAAATAACATTATGGGATATATCTCATGTATAAAATGCATGGTACCACGCTGCTGTCAATTCTTCGTATGAATGCATCGCAGTAAGACAAGAGGCACTGCGACAATCTACGTCAAACTTGAACTTTTTCGCAACGATGATCAACAGAGGAGGGGCAAGATTCAAGGGTGGTGGCTAAGAGGCAGGAATTATACGCAACATTTTCTAAATCGCATTTTGGTCTCTTAACACTATGGGATGATGCATTATGCTCTGAAAGTACTCTATGTGCTGTTGGATTGATTTTTTGAAAAGTTTTTTGGTACTCTTGGTGATGATTTTCACAAAAAGCTAAACAGCAGAAGCGATTTAGCTCTGATACTGGGAGTGCTTAAGCGATATCGCTCCGCAGAGGAATCAGATGATCCATACACTATGCACTTATGGTCACAGATTGATCCCATAGTTGTTGGTAAAGCTAAAGCGATTTAGCTGAAATGATGAACGCGATTTAGCCCAATGTTGCGTATAAACCCTGCCTCTTAGCCACCACCCCCCAAGATTCTATTCTTTACTATTCTATGCATTCAATTAGAGACGATCACTCCTATGCGAAGGATGCAGGTTCGGACATGTACTGAGCGATTCGAGAAGAAAGTCCATAAACATCCGCTTCGTCACAAGCAAATGAAGCGATATGTCCATCATATAGAGAGAAAGAAAGAGAAGCAAGTTTTATTCTTCTTCCTCTTCTTCCATTTCCCCTGCCTGGGCCGTCTCTAGATGCCTCACCGTCCACCCCGGAAAGTTCTTCGAATAGTGAGCCTCCTGCAGGGCCGCCACCTCCTCCGGGCTGGCATCTACCCCATTCAGTCCATCTACAACGAGATATCCCATCTAAAAATAGCTCCCTACCTCCGGGCAGTTGTAGATCGCGGTCCGACCCAAATATGACGAGAGACCCCTCCCTCCTCAGATACTTCTCGGAAACTTCCACCAAGTCCTCCTTATCCGTCTCGAATATTTGGTCCCTCCTCTTCTGCCTCATGTCTAACGTCATGTTGTGCAGCCATTCAGACAGACCCTTCTGTGAGGGAGGTGTGGGCCTGTCTAAACTTCCAAACAGGCTCAACTTCATCTCCTTTACGAGGGACTCGCTGCACTTTTCGCTGGAGGCAAAGTCGGCAACCTTGTCGAATGTGTCGAGTGTTCTCTTTGTGTTGGGGTCACGGTAAGAGTAGAAGGACCACACTCCTGTGCCGCTGTTGGCGCCAGAGCCGTATGCACCTCCCTTCTCCCTGATTTCCGCGTGGAGCGGATTCTGCGACAGCGTTGTAGACAGCAACTGGAATCATAAATCTTCCCGCCAATTTTAACAATTTGAACTCACGGCCAATTTGACATAATCGGGGGAGCTCCATTCTACCGTAGGAATCGATTTCGTCACGTAATTCACAGAGCCAGGAACGAGGAAGAAGGTCTTCTCCGCTTGAAACGTCTCCGTGGGGTCCTGATCTCACGTTCAATTCGAATCGGAAGAGGTTAGACTCACGCCGATGTTGCTGTTGTCCGTTCTCTTCTTCGGCAGAGTATCGATGAGAGAGAGGAGGGATCTGAATCAAATGAATTCCATTGGATTTTTAGAATAGAATTAATTATTGAAATTCATTTGCTTACCTCTTCACGGCAGGGAAAGATTTTTCTTCTCCGGTGACCAAGATCTTTTGGATCGGACGATTCAATAATATCTTACCGATCCTCTGTTCTATCTTTAGAACGTCTCGTTGTAGTGCCACTCACCTCCAGCTTCTCGACTAATCCTTGTACGTCGTCTTCCTGGGCTAAATTCTGCAAGAAAGAAACCTGTCGAACGTCAATCTACAAATCTCCTTCTTGGTTCGTTGTAGATCGTTTCACCTGAGTGAAACCTCCGAATATCTCCGATAATCTGGCAGATCTGTGTACAGATGCAGATCCGTAGGTCCTTCCAAAGACATGTCCATCACCCACGAGTGCCTCCTGCATCTCCGTCGCTCTCTGTCTCCAAGTCAATCTTCCGTATTCTTCCGAAATTTCCGTGACATTTCACCTGGTTGAGTAAGGTGGTGAGGAGTTGCGTTTCGTTCAAGCGTGGGCCCGTCAGCAGCTCTTTCAGTAGATCAAACATTTTTTCAATGTTCCTCTCCAGGCAGGAAGAAGTGAAGAGGAGATGTCCCGTACACTTTTTCAGGTTGTCATGGTCCATTTCGTGACTGGAAGGGGTCGGCAGGTTGTAGATGGATGGACTCACTTGATGCTGACGCTGATACCACCGGTGTACAGTTCGGATTGCGAGGAGAATTCGCGGAAATTCATTCCCTTCGTTCCCAGTTGGGTCATGATCTACGACGCGTCAGGATCCATTTGAACGGGAATAATATGGCGGGAAACCTCATACGTACCGACACGAACATGGGTAGGTAGGGTAATAACTCAGTGTCCAAGTTGGGAATTGAGATGAGAGATCGATAGAAGACCAGTCCATTCGTCGGTTGATTGTTCCAAAAGATTCCATTCTCTACCCTCTCCTCCATTTCCTTCCCGAGTCAGTTCCCGCCAAAATGTCGACGTCGACACCTTCTGCAGCTCGTAATCCTTGATGAGTGTCCTCGGAACATCCTGGTCCACGTGCAGAGTGGGGAGGCAGCTGACCTGTCGTCGCATCAGATTGAAACGGATGACGTAAACTGACGTCATCATTCTTCTTTGATTCTTGGTGCTCTCTCAAGGTCTTGTACTGTTGGATGATTTCCTTCTTCTCTGACTCGCTCAGTTTCTTCTGAATTTCGTCCAATTTCTTCCTCTCTCGGTCGGCCTTCTGAGCTGCGTGTGTGGGATCTACAACGCGAGATGAGAAATATTGAAAATTGATTTCGAACACAGAGAAGGCGACACGATGGATCATCGATGATGTGATCGTGATCGATGATGTGATCGATGATGTACGATATGTCAATATTGATGAAGTCAAGAGTGATCATCACCTGGGTTCATGATGATGGTGAGTTTGTGTGGATTGTTGATAAGATACTTTTCAATCAAACTCTCAAAGTAAGGCCCCTCTGCCAATTTCTTCCTCAGATCGGAGATGTACTGAAATTTCTCTCAGTTCTCCGTCACATCTCTCGACTCACCTTGTCGACACGCAAGAAGTCGACAACGTCACTATCGTGCACCCAAGCAGAAGAGATACCATTCAATATAGACATTCCGTACTTCGTCGTCACCTGGTCGCCGTCAGTATCGTCGCGAGATTTCCACGAAATCTCTCACATTCTTCTGGGAAAGTTCGATCTGGTGGATGACGGACTCGATTCTCTTCTTGTCTAGACCTTCGTCTACAACGCGCCTGAGTGTATCATCTATGATCTGCCTGACGCGTTCCACGTCCCCTTCCTCAATGTCCTGCAAGCCGATACCGAAGGAGGCTTCCCTGTGAAATTTCAACGAAATTTCATTTCGTACGTATGTTACGTACTTGCCGTAGGGGCTGTAGCCTGTTCCCGGGCAGTAGTCAGAGCCGATGTTGGGCTCGATGAGAGATTTGAAGAAGGGAGAATTTGGACCGTCTGTCAACAGAGTGGATAGAATGTGAAGGGAGTTGACTTCCATGGCATCCTGTTAGGGTGAGAAAATGGCGGGAAGATTTTGGCGGGAGAATTTTGGCGGGAAACGCTCACGTCGAGGGGGTTGGCCAGAACGGTGACCAAGACTTTCGTCTGCTTCTTCGGGTTGATCACCACTGTTCCCATCAGTACGACATCTCCATTATCCGTCATGATATCATACGATCGACTCACTAGCAGATGGTGGACCCGTGATCCTGACAACTCGCGGAGAATTCCATCTTTCTTCCGATCTTACGCTCGTGTTGGGGTCGATCTTGTCGAATCTAAATTTAGATCAGACGATGATATCGTTACGACAAAGGAAGACGTCTCACCTGGACAAGACACCCTCGTCGATCTTCTGAAGGTGTTCGGATAACGGTAAGTCACCTGCGTCTCAAATGAATGGTTGGTCCGATCTACAACGCGATACGTACCGTAAGTGTAGAAACGACTGTTGGAAGGGTGATAATGCCTCGCGTGAAATTCTTTCAAGTTTTCGTAGGTTAGATCCGGAATATTGAGAGGATCACCACCGGAATTAAACTTGTACGTCTCAGAGGTGGGGAACAGATGTTCGTCCACTGTGTAATGGAAGACGTTACTAGGCTCCGACTGAACGATTCAGAATGGAGAGGCAAATGAAACTCACCAGGACACCCTTCATCTCGTTGTAGACGACACCTTGGTAGACCAGTGGACTGTTGGAGTCTGTCCAAGTCAGTGGGTTCGAATCGTTGAGACGGTAGCGTTGTAGATGACTCAC